TTCTTGGTTTTTGTCCAAGATCTTTGCACCTTAATATTCATGGACTATTTCAAGTGAAGGAGGATAAATATGTGATTGTGAATTATGAACAGAATAGTGTAGTATCTTAATTAAATTGTTATTGAATAATATAGAGTATTTGATGCATGTTGTTTGTGCCATCAAATTATTATCAACTGTTTTTGAAACTGAAGACTCTATATAGTCAATGGTTGTGAAATTCTCCTCAGGCTTTTCAAACCCTTGCATTGTTGTAAAAGCTGAAATAAACAGCTTGCAAGATAGTAATTGAATTTCTTGCTGACCAGATCCTACTAAATACTATTGATTTCTCTGATTACAAAAACTCATTGTTTATTATTAGTAGTTTCACCCAAAATGCTTTTTCCTTTGCCAAATATAAATTGAATAGAAAGAAGATGACAAATTTTAAAGCACATGGTGGTGTGTGTCCCCATGGTGATCTTTGTTCAAAGTAATGTACTTATATTCACTGTTGCTGAGCTCCTCCAGTTTTGCATATATCCAAATTAAAAAGTAGAGGTAGTCTGAAAGCTTGATTTAGATTGTCTCCATTTGGAATGTTGCTTTACTGGAATACTGTTTAATGCCATTAGTCCAAAAACTCATTGCTCCAGTTTTAGCATTCAGAAAAGGTATAGACCCCTTAATTCTGTAGGTATTCTATGGTGAAGAAAAAGGGTAAAATAGTAAGCATAGAAATTCTTCTGGTATCCTCTGGCAAACAGGAGGAATGGATTTGTAACTAGTATACATTGTAAAGCCAATGTGCCTATCTCTCCTGTTCTCCTTCTAATGAGAACCTAGAAAAATCTCTTCATCTACACGTCACTTCCTCTGTCTGTAGTTTATCAGTTGTTTTATAAGATTATGTTCATCTGAACAAAAAAAGAATAAGAACATTAATAGATCACTAAAAAGGAAGTATTTAGCATAATACTTTACAATTTACAGTAGTATTATGTTTTTTCACACACAGAATGCAGAATCTTCTTCCCTGAATTACAGTGTATACTTCTCCAATGGCTTCCCTTTTAAAGGGAGGGCATATATATGTTGCTTCTTTCCTAATGTTATCAGTGTCTTGAGAGATTGCTGTTTCCTGAAATACCATTTCGGTTAAATCTTCTACATACTGTATGTACTAGGTCACAATATCAGGTGTGAGCTCCGATTGCCAACTGTAGTTTTTTTAAAAAAGTTTGAACAGTCTAGATTGTGTGATGCCTGTTAGATAAAGCATAGTGTAGATCCACAACTCAAGAGCCCTTCAGATTGTAAGCACTATCCTTAGAATGAGAAGACAGGATAGTTTTCACTTAGGCTTATAAAACGTTTTTCTTTGCTAGCATGTGACCCTCACTGTGATTCAGTGAGACCAGAAAAAAATGCATGAAAAAATTAGATCTACAAATGGCACCCAAAGACCATGGCTATCATTTACTTAGGTATATTTCAACCTCCTGATCACTAAGCATTTTACTATAATTGGGGACAAAAGTTTTCCTTTTGAGTAAGTTGAATTTGTTCCATCTACCTTCTGGCTGATTTACCATAACAGGTGGCAAAAGCCCGTAAAAATGGGGAATATATATGTCACTTTCTTGTAGGCCCAAAATATTCATTTGCTGGGGGGTACTGTCCAAATGTCACTCATTTTAACTAAAGGAAAGTAAGAATATTAAAAGATCACTGATAAGGAGTCTTTAGCATAGCATTTTACAACTTACAAAATTTTTTTAAATAATGGATTTTCCCATTTCTTTAAGAAAGTGTAGACAACTTGCATTCCTTATACCAGACTCAATGCACAACTTAGTCAACCTGATATCCTTTGGTGCTATGCATTATCACAAGTAGCTCCTTTACTCTATATATAGGAACCCATTTTACCTTTGCCTAATCCTTTAAACATCCTTTTGAAGTTGCATCTTATGGTTTATGCTAACCCAGTAAAGGTAGTGCTAGCTGGCTAAAATTTCATGATTCTTATGATCTGTATTTTTAGTTATAATGGCCAATATACCCATTAGTACAACTCTTAATCCCCACCCCGCCCCCACACTTTTCTTTGGTTAAAGTGGTGTTTGTTTTAGAACTGTGCTGTAAGCAAGGCTAGCACCTTGCTGCATCCTGCCCTATTATGAATCTCATTTGCATCTAATTGAAACTTTTCTACTTTATTTCCTCTTTTTTAATATAAATTGGCCCATGTCACTTTAAAAATGTACTTTAATTAGTTCTAGTTTTTTTAAAAAGCATATGGCTTTTAAAAATACATATAATTTTGGTTACCCAAAGAGCTATGCAAGAAATACAATTTAAATTTTTATAGGTAGATATATTTTTTAAATTTTATTACTGTATACAAATGTAAATTAATTTGTAAAATAGTTTATCACCTACTGTGATAGGTATCAAACTGCTTTGATTGAAAATCTCTGTCATGAACACGATTCATTTCATATTGCTGATATATTAATGATGTGTTCCTTTTATGACATTCTTGTAACAAGAAATCCTGTGAGTCTGGTATAATAAAGTGTGTAATAATTAGAAGTTTACTTAAAGGAGAACATGTTTAAAACCTCAACATTTCTTGTTATGCCATGATACTTCCAGTTTTTGGTTACCAAAAAGTTCCCAATTCTTGCACTGAAAAACATTCAAATAACAATATGGTATAGGTTACATTGAAATATTGTCAATATCAATGATTATACTCATGTAACCCACAAACTATTAGAAATGATATCTAGGACTTGTTACAAGGTAAGATAGGTTTTTGTAAACTTTTTAAAGTTATTATCTTCTCTTTATGTAACTGTATTAAACTTAATAATGAAGTTTTCAGGGAAGGTACACTTTAAAAATACTTTTTCTTGCTACTTTTTGTATATTGACCAAATAGTCTCACATCTTTGTAATGCTTATTCTTTGGTTGCTATTGGCTATGATAGTTCCTGCATCACTGCAATGTATCTTGTTCCTTTTATAAGTGGGCTCAGCCCAGTTGTCTGTTATACAACCTCTGCTTTAGTTTATTTTGATAAGACAATCTATAAACCTCAACATTTACAGTGAAATTCATAGTCTTGAAACCGACCTTCATCTTTTTGTTTTTGCTCCCCTAATTGGGTTGGCCATCCTCACTAATGACTTCTCTCTGAACAGTATTTCTTGGTACTGGTAGATTTGGATTGCATGATAAAGATGAATGCCCAGTTTCACCATGTGTATCTTTTTCAAATAAACTGAGTACAATAACACCTTCTAATTCTTTAGTGTACTTTGGTTTTTAATTATTGACTAGAACTAGAAACTCTATCAGTAGCCTTTCCTTGCCTATCTGAATTCTACCTTCTGTGAGTCCTAAATAAAGGTCCCCCAAGAGAACAAGCATGATTTTTCAGTAAAAGCAGAAAGCATTCCAGCCCAGCATGATCACTGTTCACCAAAAAGGCTTGAATAGTTGTACCTGGTGAACTCTCAGCCACCAGCACTGTGCCTCTCAACCTTTAGAAAACTTCAGATGGATAATTTTCTCAGTAAGTGATTAATATGTTTTGAAAGAAGGGCTAAGGGAGAATTTTCTATGAGTAGAATCAATATTGGCAGAGGTGAGTAATTCACCTTACCATCAGTGAGAGTTCAGCCTTTCCATGACTTAAGAAAATATTTTGTTACCATTCTTTGATTTATTCCACAGCCCTACTGTACTAGTAATTGAAAGCCATTGTTTTCTTATATGCTTTTAAGTGTCAGATTAATTAACAATAACTTGAACTAAATACTAGAAAATACTTGAAGTAAAAAAACAAAATTCCACATTGTTTAATTTCCTTAATTACTGAGTCTTTTGAACCCTTTTCATGTTAATTGTCCAGATGTACCCAGTTCATAACCTTTAGCCCACTGCTTGTTGCAGGGAATAAAGACATTGTCTTTTTATTTATGTTTCTAAATATTTTGAACTATTCCACATCTCATTGTTCTCTTGTGCAAAATTGTCTTGACTGTTCCTGGACCTTTATTGTTTCAGATAAATTTTAATATGTGTATCAAGTTCTTTATCTCTTAAGGATTAGTTTTGAAGGCTTAATGTTGTTATAGTAGAAAAATATCAGTCTTTTCCAGCATGGATGTCCTAATAGCTTCACACTTAGAATTGTTCCAACAGAAATGAGAACTTCACAGTTCAATAAGTGGCTAAAAGGAAGGTTTAGGACAGCTGTGGGAATACTGACACATAGTTTTATAACATATGTAACCAATCTGGGTTTACCTTGTATGTTCAACTTCTGTAAACTATGCTAAGATGAAAATATTAGATCTGGCCCAGGGCAAGAGACTTGGCCCTTCCAGTACTAATAATAATGTCCCACCTCCTTAGCTGTTTAATTAATAAGATCATAGTCTATGCAGGTCGCCTCTAGTACACTGAACCTATGTTTCATCATAGCGTAGCAACACAATGCACTATGGGATAAAATTGCTGTTGTCCTCCTCTCTCCCTATCCTGTGGCTAAGTGGGAGTTGCCTGTCATTGCATCTTCCATGCATTGTTGGCCTAAGATCAGATCAAAATCAAAGATTTCCACTGAAAGTACAGTTTTCACATCATCATCATCAAGTCAAGTCATCCTAAGTTGGAGACCATCTGTACATTAATTTGCAATAGACATATCACACCTTAAATCCCAAAGTGTTGAGCTTATGTGAACACCTTCAGATGAAAAATTCAAATAAAACCATTGTGGGCCTTTAGTTTGATGTACTCTGTACTTATAGAGAATTCTGCATCTACTTTATTAAGCTAGCTACTAAGGGAACTCCAGCATAACATGATGAATGCAGATTTTTTAATTTCAAAAGGAAGAAACTTAGTAGTTTCTGAATTACTATTAAATCTACATCATTTTTCTCTTTAGGAGATCCATCAACCAACTGTGTGCTCTTAATAAACACAAGGTAATCAGTACTAGCGGTAGAATATTATATTCTCAGCCTTCTCACAAAGGCACAACATACATAGTTCAAGCAGCAAATCTGTAATGACCATCAGAACTTTGGCAGAGGTTACATAATATTTGTTAAACAATTGCACTTTTAGCCATTTCATAAGTTTATATAAGACCTGGCCATATGCATTAGATTATATATATATATATATATATAATCTCAATCTTATATATATACATACATATGTATATATACATTTTTCACCAATACAGCATATATACTGTCTGGAATCCATTTTTCAAATGTCAACTTTAGTGTCATGGTGACCAAGTTATGACTAAACTAAATTAGATGTACTGATGTATTCATTAATCCGACTTAGAAAGTTGACACAAAAAGAATCATCTTTTTTAAAAAGAGAAAATCTTTGGTGACATGTTGTTAAAGGAGTCATAATTCCAGCATAAGGAGAGAAAAACACTCAAAATTAGAAATTTCTCTAAATTACAAGATTTAATAAAAAGCATCAAACCCATTAACACTTGTTTTTTTTAAAAGGTCACCCAAATTAATCCTAGAGGTCTGAAGACAATCTATTAACAGGCCCCTCTGTATGTGATATTTTTTAATACCTTTATTTTATTTATTTATATGTGGTGCTGAGGATCGAACCCAGGGCCTCTCATTCATTAGGTGAGCACTCTACCACTGAGCCACTACCCCAGCCCTTGTATGTGATTTTTAATGTCTATCATTAAACATCTTGAAACTTAATTTTTGAAAGAAAACAGTAAATCACAGTGGCCATTTAAAATTCTTTAAAATACCAAATTCAAAAATTACACAAAATGTAAGAGGCAAGAAAAGAACTACAAAAACAATCTGGGAATAAGGACTCTTTTGAGAGGTTTGATAAACTCAAACACCTTCCAAATTCTATTACCCATCTCTGTCCCTGTTGTCTACAGAATGTTCTTGGTGCCTGGCACAGGGTCTTGGTCCAGGGGATGTCAGAAGCATTTGCAAATTAAACCGAAGGAGCCTGCAAATCCTGTCTTTTGTTGTGAGGAAGAAATGGGTAGTAGCTTTTAAACTAAGTTGAATTCCCTTAGATTTAGTTGCAGAATTGTGTCTTTGACAGCAGCAAACACAAAACGGATATTCTCTGTATCTGTAGCACATGTGAAGTGGGAATAGATGACTTTTTCTTTGTCAGGATTCTGGTCTTGATAAAGCTTCAGAATAAAGTCTCTGGCAGCCTTGACATCCTGCTTTGGTCCTATTCACGAGTGCAATTAGAAGAAGAAAAATATATAGACTTACTAAAACATCCTCCCAAGAACCAAGAACTTTTTTTTTAAAATTGGTTCTTTTTAGTTATATATAACATTAGGATTCATTTTGACATAATTATAAAGCATGGAATATAATTTGTTCTAATTCATAATTTAGTCCCCAGTACTTCCCCTTTTCCTTTCTCTCTGCCCACCCACTCCCCACCTCACCCCCCCACACCCCATTCCCTTCCCTCTACTCTACTGATCTTTCTGCTATTTACTTACAGTTTTATGGGCATTTTTTGTTGCTGTTTTTTGGGATTGTTTTTGGTTTTGTTTTGTATTAGAGGATTGAACCCAGGGGTACTTAACCACTGAGCCATATCCCCAGCCCTTTTTATTTTGAGACAGGGTCTCAGTAAGTTTCTTAGGTCCTCACTAAATTGCTGAGGCTGTCTTTGAACTTGCAATTCTCCTGCCTCAGGCTCCTGAGCCACTGAGATTACAGGTGTGCGCCACTGAGATTACAGGTGTGCGCCACTGAGATTACAGGTGTGCACCACTGTGCTGAGCTTTTTTGTTTGTTTCTGTAGATGTATATGATGGTGAGATTCACTATAGTACATTCATATATGTATATAGGAAAGTTAGGTCAGATTCATTCTACTGTCTTTCCCTATCCCATGTCTCCCTTCATTCCCCTTTCTACTCCACTAATCTTCCAAGAACCACTTTGAATATACTCTTGTTCTTATTTGGGGTCCTTCTTTGGTCTACCTTACTTTATTCCTAGGGAACAGTTTACCTGGAGCATTATTTTTATTATGTCATTATGAGTGCATATAATAGCATTGCACAGTGTGTTCACTGTTATCTAAAAATCGTACTTTAAGATCATTTGTTTAAAATAGTGGCCCAATTTAGTTTTTTGATTTGGACCACTTTTGAACAAAGATAATTCTTATTATCTTTCACAGATATAGACTAGAGGAAAGAGCAAAAGAATTCAAAATTAGAGGCTAGAAAGCTTAAGGGCTCTGTATTTAACAACCAGTGCCGCTAATAAAAGGAAAAAAAAGAGTGACGAGACACCAACCCTCAGTGTCAAACAGTAATATCTGAGAATTACAGGAATAATTCACAACAGGGCAAAAAACTCTCCTGCTTTGAATAGGTGTATACATAAAGTGCTGATCGCCTGTGTCTGGGAAAGGGGATGCCACCCCCTAACCTATGAAGCACCAGCTGCTCTGACTGGTTCTGACTGGGCAAAGATAAATTAAGTAGCTGAGTAGGGAGAGAGCTGAGCAAGTGAGGGGACAATGCTACACAACCAGATGACAGCCAAAGGAGCAAGAGGAGCCAGTGCAACACCAAGGAGGTGGCACACTTATGCAAACCCTTGCTTGTTCAAGGAAAGGTCAGAAAGGCTTCCCAGTAGAGAAGCATGAACTGGGTCCTGGAGAACCAAGAGGAGCCAGCAAAAGGCATTGTCAAAAGTGTATTCCAGGCGCTGGGAGTGGCCTGTGTGGAGGTGCTAAGGGGGAAACACACCAGAGTCCAATGAGAGCTTCCTTTCAAAGGTGAGGAGGCAGAGAGGCTGTTTTGGGCAGATCAGGGTAACCCCTGTAAGCTATGCTGAGAATTCAGAATTGATGCCTGGAAGACTGACAAGATCAACACAGAAGCATTATCCCCAAGATGAACACTTACCTGTGTATTCTGGGAAATAGCTAATTAGATGAGAGTACATGATTTTCTCTTCCAAAAGATCCTTCTTGTTTAAAAACAAAATCACAGATGAATTCAAAAACCAGGGGTAGGTGATGATGGTTTTAAACAAGGCTTTGCTCTCTTCCATGCGATTCTAAGTGAGAAAGAAGTGACTTAGGATAAACTGGGGGGGAAAAAAAGGCAATATTTTGGAAACAACATGCCAAGTGGCTAAGGCATCCATCAGTCCTCTTTACCCTGCTGCAGGCTCTGGGTTCCTGCTCTTATTGAAGTTGGTGAGCACATGGGCCCACAGGATACTATATCCTGTGCTTCTATTTATCCCTTCTCTCTGGAGCACCCCAAATCTTCTCTAGACCAAAACTAACATGTAAGGAAATAAAAACTTTTGTGCAACTTAGAACAGGAAGGTTTATTTCTATATTTGGCAAAAATTTTCCATGTTGTATAATTGTTGGGATTAACAAGTGGAGAAGTACCAGCTTTTATACCTGAGACAGCCACTCAGCTGGATATGGGCTTCCAGATTGTTCCTCGAGAGTCACGTGACATAGGAGGAAGAAAGGTTTTTCCAGCAAGATCATGCCCCTAGGAATGCTAGATGCTGGCCAAGAAGGGAACCAGTGCTGCTTAGTACCTGTCCTCTGCCATGCTCTACAAGCAGAACAGTGCCCCCATTTAAAAGATGAGGGGCTGGGGATGTGGCTCAAGCGGCAGCGTGCTTGCCTGACATGCGTGGGGCGCTGGGTTCAATCCTCAGTACCACATAAAAATAAAAAAATCAAGTAAAGATGTTGTGTCCACCGAAAACTAAAAAATAAATATTAAAAAAGTCTCTCTCCCTCCCTCCCTCCCTCTCTCTCTAAAAAAATAATAATAATGAGAATATTGTTCAGAAAATTTAAGTCCCTTTACCAAGCCCATGTAATAGTGGGATCTGGTGAAGACTAGATACAAAAAACAGTAATAATTTCTATACATGGCAATGAGTATGTTAAATGCTCTAAATTTGCAGAGAGCAGACAGTGTACATACAAATATATCTGATGACAATAATTGTTTTAGATAGCATTCTTAGAAGTATTTCTAAGATGAAAGAAACAAGAACCTCTGTTTAGAGAGAGAGGTGGCCCGAAGGAAAAACATCCAAGCTGCACATATGACCTCCAGAGGGACATGCTTTAACTCTTACTTCCCTACAACTCCCAGACACCAGGGCTCATTCTGCCATTCAGTGCATTTGGAGGCATTAAGATCTGGAACATATTAATAGACAGGTAACCCCTCACCTGTTTCTAAAGCTTCTTTAAAATTTCTTATGATTTTATTAATAATAACATCCAAGGAAATAATATATTCAAAAAAATTCTTTCAGCATAGTAAGTGGATATCTACAACCAGGCAGGAAAGGTCTGGCATAGCAACCACTTAAGTTTTTTCTCCAAATACCTTGTGTTTCTTAGGGGAAAATGTTTAGTTTCTAAGCACATCAGGCTGAGTTACTAGCCCCTTGTGCCCCTGTCTAATCTTTGTTTTACTGGGAAATATCACAAATTATTCCCAAGACAAATATGGAGATAATTTTTTTTATATATTGCTAAGTGGATGCCTGCTTTAAAAAGGAGGAAAAAAAAGTGGAGCTGGGCTGCAGCCAGTATTTCTATTTGCACAATGACACAAGTAAATGGGTTAAGCCCTCCACTAATTAGCTAATGTAGTAGTGCTCCTCAGAGAGTCTGCTCTCAAGAAATATAAGATATGATTTGTTCATAGTTATTACCTAATCCTGGACACAGTTCTTTATTGATTTACTTTCATGTCCTGGAAACAGAGACATTTTTTTCTAAGAGGTTAAGAAGGCTTGCACAAGTTCAGGAGAAAAGAAAATGAGGAGGACATTAGCATCCCACAGAAAATACCCATCACCTCACAAAGAAATGACTGGAAATGTTATCACTTGGGCAGATCTAGCTAATGGAACTGGAACCAACCAGTGGGGGACAGAGTGCCTGACTTGGCTGAGTCAGCTATAGCTGCCTTGAACAAGTACCTCTTGGGGGAAGTGAAGGGCAGACATAATCCCAGGCAACCCTAGAACAACTCCAAGCATCTGGTACTGCTGTCCATGCCAGTTAAGATAGGGACCTAATTTGGGAGTGCCATGGCCTGTGGAGGTTGGGAATTTTGTGCTCAGATAAATTTTATTACAAAGAGTATTGCTCAAATTTGGCTGTGCTTTAGGATCCCTGGGGAACTTGAAAAAGAAAGCCCCACCTGAACCCAGTAAAGCAACTCTCTTGTGTGGGGCCCAAGACCATGGTTTCAAAAGCTCCCCCCGGGGATTCCAATATGTTGTCAAAGATGCAAACTTCTGATTCTGAGTGACTTCCACCCTTCACAGCACATGGATTCACCTAGGGAACTTGAGGGGGAAAAAAAAAATCCCATGCTCAAGCCACATTTATCACCTATTAAGTTAGACCCAGGCACCAAATTTTTCTTTGAAGTTCCTCAGGAAACTCTGTAGTGTGCTGGCAAATTTGAGAACCAGGTCATGGCCAGTGATTCTCAACCTTTCATATGTACAGTCTTGTGTTGCAAAATAACCATTTGGCTAACAACCACCATAAATGATGATGGTCCCCAGTGCCTGGTATTTTTACTGTTACTTCTATGTATTTAATATGTTTAGATACATAAGTAATTGATGTTGTATTTCAGTTGCCTTTGGTATTAAATATAGCAACATGCTGTACAGGTGTGTAGCCTAGGAGCAGGTGTGTAACCTGGGTATGTCACAAGCTGCATACAGTCTAGGTTTATGTACATACATTCTCTGATGTTCACATGAGGATGAAACTACATAACAACCGATTTCTCAGAATTCATCCTTGTTATTAAGTGACACATGACTGTTAAAATTACCTAGGACCTTGTTTAAAAAAAATGCAGACTCTGACTTAGTCACCCTGGAATAATTTAATAATTTGCATTTCTAACAAGCATCTCAGTATTGCCTGAGCTGTTAGTGCATCGATTGTACTTTGAGTGGCAAGACTGTGTAGCCCAAGGAAGAATCTATTACTTGACCTACTTGGAAAAAAACAGAAAAGTTCTCTGCTACCTAACCTCCCCTTGCAAAATACCTCATTGTCACACTCAGCCAGGACCTGGTCATATTCACTCAGAGCAACCAAGAAAATGATGGAGGTGACACTCTCGAAGCAATGAATCCATTTCCGTCGTTCAGATCGCTGGCCACCAACATCCACCATCCTGCTCAATACAGACAGAAGACACAAAGGTTGGAATACATCACTTTGGAGGAAAGGATACAAGTCTCTATACCATGGAATCAGTGATCTCTATAGAGTCCTCAATTTTTTAGAGTGCAAAGGAATCCTAAGTTTAACACGTTTGAGCACCACTGTTTTAGGCAATGAGGGACCCCTGAATGTTTCCAAGCGCAGGAGGCCAAAAATGTAAATGAAGTTTCTGAAGACAGAGGTGACTCAGATGGCATACAGAGGAACCTTCCTGAGGACACTGGTTAGGATCCTGCTGCAATAGTTCAGGAAGAAAACACAGATTTCACTTGGGTTTGAATCCAACCACCCACTGTTAGAGTCAAAGGATAGCAGACACAAAAGGAACAGAGTCAAACAATCTTCCAGGTCCCTTCAGCCTTCTTTGGGCCCAATCTTGATTTCAGAGTTTCTCTAATTTATCCACAAATCCTTGCATTAACTCTATGCCACCCCTTCTTCCCTACAAATACCTGCAAGTGCTCTCTGCCTGGCATGGAAATCCAAAGCCTTTACCTGTGTCTTTGGGTGAGATTTCAGGGACTAATAGCCCAAAGATCACAGACTTGAAAGGCCCAGGGGTCAGGCAGTTCGTGAGTCAAATGGAAAAGCTGCAGAGTGGAAAAGCTTATATGCTTGAGAGGTAGGGGTTCTGTCCGAAGGGATGGTTGCTATATCAGCAGTTAAGCGCTGCTGGGCAGAGCGCAAGCTCACCATTACCAGGTCCTTGGATGTTGAAAGAGAACTTTGACATCAACTGTTTTAGGTGAAACATCCCAATTTTTAAATGTTAGCTCAGATTTGTTTTTATACTACTGAACAGCAAAGAGAATACATCTTTGGGGCAGATACAGCCCACATATTCTGTTCCATAACTATTGTCTAGAAAGGTGCTTGAGAAGGCCAGAAATCTAACCCTGCAGGTGCAGACACTTTACAATGCTGTGCTCATGGCTGGCTGTCCCACCTCGTCCCACCACACAGCAAGGAATGGAGCTGGGAAGGAACACTGCAATTGTCAAAAGCTTGGGTTCCATAAGGTCATTCTCTAAAGACTTTAATCTCAATGATCAGAATTCTTCAGCCAGAGGGTGAGCAAGAGGAGATGTAGAGCTATAAAATAATAGATGTCACTGATGGATGATGTTAAACCTACTTATCAGTCTCTAGGAAACAAGGCAAACCTATTTATCAAAGCATGAGGCAGATACTTAGAATAAATTTCTTTAAAAAAAACAAAAAACAAATGCAAGCCTTGGGAGGCCCTCACTCTGAGAAGATTTGGGAGGTGCAAGCAACCCTTGGTTCTCAAAAGGTTTAAATATGGACACACAGGGGCGGCCATTAAAATCAGGGATCTGCTAACAAATACACAGGATCTCTTCTGGGTGCCTCCCCAGCACTACGGTTCAGAAGAAACACTGAGATATAACTGTAGATAATATAGGACCTGGATATGGGAGAACTGGGCCTGAAGAAGTATGTGTAATAATAATTCTTGGGAGGAACAAGGGAAATAAATGCAAAAGTGCTTTGAAATTTGCAGTGCTGTGTATATGCCCCCACATTATTATTCATTTTCCCATAATTAAATCAGTGAAGACCTACCCAATTTGTCATAAAAGTACATCCTACATTCATACATTTACACAGCTGTAAGCAGTTTATCCATATCTGAGGTAATTTTACTATAAACTTTTGTATTATTATTTTTCTCTTTTTTTTAAGGATAAATCGTAAAGAAATAGAGAAAAAGAGAAATATTATCCAACATTAGGGAAAAGACTTCGATAGTCAGTATATTCAGTATGTAGGTGATATATATATATATGCATGTTACACATAAGATGATTCCAGTTCCCAGAAAGAAATTTCTTTCCTAAGGGCAAAATGGAGTCCCTCTCAATTCTAGAACTTGAAACCTACCACAATCGTACATGCCTTGGGACCAAGAGGGTCATTCTGCCTATCACAAGTAACCCCTACTTAGGGATAACACATTTAGGCCTTGGGCAGACAGATTCTTAAATGAGCACGCCCAGAAGACAAACTTACCGAAAAATGATGTTTTCCAAGTCGAATGGATACTCAATGATGCCTGTGGTGGGCACTCGGACACGAAGCACATCTTGCTGTGTTGGCACAAACGATGGCATGGCGATTCGGTCAATGTCAGTCAGGTAACTGTGATGTGAACAAATGAGAAGCCAAGACTCCTTTTAGAGAAGGGAGAAAAATGCCCATCCTACTCAAGGGAAGTCACCCCCAGCTCACAGTGCTACCTACTGAATTCTATCGCTGACTTTCTTGAGAGTCAACTGAGGGTCAGGCCGCAAGCTCTATCACACAGCTGTGGCTGTGAGGGAGACAGCAGGTCTGGAGGACTAGGATGTGGGAAACAGCTCCACCTAGGGACTCTGACCTGCCACCCAAAGGTCAGCATGAAAGTAGACCAACAGGAACAAGGCCAACCTGGCTCACTGGACAGCCTGAAATTCAGTTTAAGAAGCCAGGCAGTAGGCAGTCTTCTGTGGCCCACCCCATGCCCAGATACAAGCCCAAGGTTTATTACTGTCTCTGCTGAGCAGTACAGTGGTCTCCCCTTACTAAAGGTTTCACTGTCCACAGTTTCAGTTATCCATGGTCATTCGTGATCCAAATGGGAAATTCCAGAAATAAACACCTCATGAGGATCTTTTGGTTTGTTTGGGATAAAGTCTCACTATGTGGCCCAATGTGGCTTCAAGTGATCCTCCTGCCTCAGCTTCCTGAGTAGCTGTGACTGCAGGTGCCACCATACCCAGCAACAATTCATAAACTATGTCATAATCTGTTCTGAGCAGCATAAAAATCTGGTGTCATCCTACTCTATCCTGCTGTGGACATGAATCATCCATCCCCTTTTCTGGTTTGGGGCATAGTACATACCTATTAGACGCTTAGTAGCCGTCTATTACTAGATCAACTGTCACAGTATCACTGCGATGTCCAGGTACCTGATTTAACTAAATAATGTTCCCAATAATTGTTCTATTTTATTGTTGTTAATTTCTCACCTGCCTAGTTTATAAATGAAACTTTATCATAGTTAGGTACATATAGGAAAAAATAGTGTCTACACAGGGTTCAATATAATTTGCAATTTCAGGCATCCACAGGGGGGTTCTTAGAATGTACTCCCCATGATAAGGGGGAATCCTGTACGTTGCTGTGTGATTATTTTATTTATATCTCATTCCACCAGGCAGTACCTTTCCTGAGAGTAGAAGGCATTGATTGCCCTATAACCCTTACCACTGTGCCAGGCACATTACAAGCATTCATCAAATAGTAAACACATGTCCATTTGAGTAGACAAAACTAGCAGATGGTTGTGAGATGCTGATCTAGACCAAAGAAGTGCACAGGTGCCTGCATCCTGCAGATTCTCAAGATCAGGCAACCATCACGTTTATGAGTACCATTTTTAATCTATGGCATCTCTGTCCATCCCTCTCAATGAGCTTGCCTCAGTTTTCTGGGTTACACTGAATTCTCCAGCAGTTCTATTGGGTCTTCTCCAAATGGATCAAGAGCCATTGCCAATTCCCAGGTCCTTCACAGAGTAAATAACACCAGGCAGTCTCAGGTAGGATCAGGAAGGCCATGGATACCTGGCCTTGAGCTGTCCCTGGCTCACCAGGCTGTCCAGGGCAGCCCAGGGCAGCCCATACCTCCTTCTTGGAACAATTTCTTCCTCCATCTCTTTTCTTTGCTGATCTAACACCTATTGGAGTTCCTTTTATTTTCCTTCCTTGATGGTATTTTGTTCCTGTATTTAGATTAGTTGTGCCCCTCTGGATTAAGGACATTGAACACTCAGCCTAGGACAGACTCCAAAGGGAAGCTGTTGACCACAGAGATAACATTTCCTTTCCTGTACACTGCTTCATTCAGCCCTTTGGGCAAACTCCCACCCAAATCAGCTTAGAGGGCAATGGCACCTGAAGGGAAAGGGATGGGAAGAGGAAGTAAAAGGGATGGATCTTGGGAAAGTATCTCAAGGCCACCATTATGATGATGATGTGGGACAGGCAGAAAGCTGAGCTGTAAAAGCAAGGATCACCACCTATTCACGTAAGACCAAACCATTTGCCCAGTGACCTGGCTGAAGGCTGCATTTCCTTGGGAAATTGTTAGATGCTGCGATCTCTATGAGATGTTTTGCATGAAGGACTGTCTAAACAGAAATTTTTCCACCTTTGGGAGTTAGTTATTTAAAACTACAGCTTTATCTATCCAAAATGTGGTATGTAGGTCGTTGGAGTCAGCTGAGATTTCTGGATGCCGGGCCCAGCAGTACTTGGCTCTGCCACGAGAGGGCAGCACCAGATCAGCACCGGTGGACCCTGATTTTAGGTTTTGGTGCAGTTGGACCTGCTGTCTTCTGATCAGGCAACCAGAAAGACAGAGATATGGAAAGGAAGAAAGTGAAAAACCAGAAACAAGTATATTCCTTGCTTAAATCATTTCAACACCCCAAATCAGATCCACCCACTAACAGAACCTCAAATTTGAGCATTTTATTGAAAATGAAACACATAACAGTGAGGAAAAATTGGGTCTCTGCCAAGAAGGAAATTTGGGGATCCTCAAAGATGGAAGGTTTTCAGGGGATGGTAAGAACACCAAGAAGGGAGTGATAACAAAAACAGAGGGAGGTGGTGTTGCCACTGAGCCCTTCCACTTAAGCAAGCAGCAAGAAGCTCCCCTGAAGCATGACTGTGTTTGCCTAAAATCCCGCCTCCCCCCCCCCAGGCAGCTGTGGCCGGAGCTCTGTACTCACTATTTGGCAGAGTCTGACAGCTGGTACTCCCGCCTCCTGTCATAACACTCCTGGATTCCTGGATCCTGCCAGAGCTGCTTGATGGCTTCCACCTGGTCCCTGCAGAGCACTGAGACCTTGTCAACTTCCACTTCTTTGATTATCTGGGCATTTTCCTACTCAAAGAAAAGAATTTTTCATTAGACAAAAAAAAAAGTCAGCTGCTAGGTGATTTGCCCTGACCCATGGATCTCACTAGGTGTGGAGGTGGAGAGGCTCATGGCTGGGGCTGTTGACAGCCTTGCCACTCAGCTGCAGCCACAGTAAGTGGAGGTGATGCAGCTGTTCATCTCAGCAGAAAGCAACAGAGTCCACGACCTTCAGGCCTAGCAGTGCTTGGGGACAGTTCCATCGGCATTAAATTCCACGTGATGACACACAGGACTATCATCCAACTAGCAAACATGCTGCTCATTCGAGTATCTACAAAACCAGCAATTTAAAAATAACATCATAACAAGGGTTGGTTAGTGGAAGCGGGTCCTTGCTGGGTGCAAGCAATAAGGGGGTGCACTGTCTTGGAGAATCAAAAACAATACCATCATTTGCTTTTTCTTCTCTGTCCTTTATTTTAAAAAAATTATAATGGATGACTTTCTAGAGTAGTTTAAAGGTCATAGCAAAAATGAGGGGAAAGTACAGAAAGTTCCCACACAGCCTGCTTTTTATTATCATGAGTCAGTGATTAAATTCTTTCCCACTGTGTGAACCATCCCCATTGTACCCCCTCTGCACACCACTGAATTAGCTATATTTATTATTGTCATGATTATTAAATAATAATTACTCTAATACTGTTGTTTGATTATTGCAGTAATTGTTATGGTCATTTTTCCTAGAATTATTACTACTAGAGCAGTTACCATTTATTAGCTACTTACCATGTGCCAAAGACACTGTATAACATTATCTCACTTAATCAGTGGAAGGCCCACACAAGGCCAGAGATCCTTCCAAACCTTAGAAAATGAAAATGATCCCATTGGCCTGCATCCACAACATTTCCCAGAGACTCAACATCCCTTCCTTGGCTGCAAGTTGCAGCAGACAAGCAAAGCCTGCTGAGGGAGACAAGACCCTGGTCCCTTCTCCCCGCCCCCCTTCATCTTCCTGCATCTCACACCTATTACGTCATGGAGATCTGGCCATTCAACGGCAGATGTGGGTTGGCAAAGCGTCCATTTGGGGCTGTGAGCTCAAATACATATGGCACCCTGTGAACATCGCTTTCAGCTTGCATTGTTCATCCAACAGGAAGCTGGAGCAGGGAATCTCCTAGACTCACTTGGCTCAGAGTGAACCGCTACGGGCTGTATTTATAGAAACGTGCCTTTGCCCCACATCCATTGTAAAACTGAATAAACTCTCCTCCCAGGCTGTGGGATCCTCAGCCAGGCTGGATCTCAAGCTAGAAAGAGGCAGGGTGGATTGGCAGAAAGTGCCCTGGGCTAGGAGTCAGGACCATCAGTTCCAAGCCATGCAGTTGGGAGATTAAAAATTCCCTGTCTTAGTGATTTTCAGGGGAACCTGAATTATAAAGTACCAAATCTTACATTTTCTTAGCATTAGCCTTATTACTGTAGCAGTTGTCTTGTAAACAACAACAACAAATATATATATATATATGTGAAATGTATTAATAGTCCTTAAACCTCAACATCTCACGCCTCCTGCTGGCACACTGTGTCGTCTGCACATTCCTGGTCAGAGAGATGAGGAAGACATGTCCCTGAGAGAGTAAGCCACAAGCAGATGCCTCCCACTTCCTCCCTTTCTCTAGCCACCCACTCTCCCCACGAACAGGATCAGATGGTCTCACCACTCTGTGAAAGTTCTACTCTAAATTTAAAATCTGTTTTCTTCTTGGTCTTCAAGACAACTCAGGAAGTGCCCCAAGAACACAGCCAATGTCTTGCTTGTTCTTACAGCCCAGAGCCTAGTGCAGTGCCTGGCAAATAATAGGTATCTCTGCTGATGTGTGCATTCAATAAACATTTGTGATACATATAAAATTTATCTAACAGAAAAATCCTAAGTAACCAACAGCCAAAGAATGCAAGAACACGGTGCCAGGAGCCTGTGCAGGTGGCCATGGGAGCACAAAGGAGCTTGGGGATGTCTCCGAGGGGGACACGCCCTGGTGGGTCTTGGCTATTTGTCTTCCTGATTCTGCCCCTGGTTGAAGGTGGCATTCTGGTGGCAGTTGGCATCCTTGTTTCTTGTGCCCTATGTCTCTTAGGCTGCACTCCTAAATTTACCTGTTAAATGCAACTTAGCCACCAAGAATCAGTGCTGTGACAGTTAGGGATGTTGCAAATATATTTCTCTCTCCCTTATGACCCAAGGATTTTACCTTCTGCTTTAAGAAATGAGGGAAAATAACTTTTATTTTTTTTTTTTGGAGAAGAAATTTTAAAAATCCAGTAATTCACCACCTTCCCTTTTACCCTCCTGTGGTGATTGTAGAAGAGTCAAGACGGACCCTCTATCAACCAGGGTTCCCAAGAGATTTCAATGAGCAGAGATACCCTGACACACCCCAGCAGACATGTTGCATGAGCGAGAACTTGACTTTTAAGTTGTAATCAACAGTGAGTTGAGTCAGCGGAACTTTAGGGACAGTTTTCTACTACAGTATAACCTGCTGTGTGCATCCTGACTAACACACGCTGCAGCGGAGAAGCCCAGCCCTGGGCTCTCCCAGTGGAGAGAGAGCAGATGTTAGGGAGGTACCAGAGAGGAATGCGGGTTTCCACAGAGGCTACCCAGGGAAGGAGTGGATCTGAGCTCTCTTTGAAGGCCCAGCCAGGAGAGAGATTGTTCAGCTAAGTGAGGGGATTTGGGGGGACTCTGGCTTGAAAGAGGAGGAGAGCTCAGGCTCTTGAGAAGCTCAGTAGGAGAGGGGTTTGGAACAGACTGCACTCACAAGGCCCCAAAGCAGTTCAAGTTCAGAGAACTCTTTTCTGTCATCAGCTCCTTCTGGTTGGTTTTCCTACCTCCTACCAATGAAAATCCTTTTCTTTTTTTAAATTTCTCATTTTGAAATAATTGAAGACTTAACAACATGTGGAGCAAATGGTACAAAGACTTCCTCTATGCCTTTCTTCCAAGAGTGGTCTAATGTTAATAGCTTGCTACCTTCCTTACCATTCATTCCCTCTCCAACATGTCCCTGCACCTAGACACGCATTTGCCCATGCCTGTCAACACACACGTCTATCTTTTTCCTGATTATTTGAGTGTAAGTTGCAGATACCTTGCCTCTATTTGTAAACACTTTAGTGTGGTTTTCTCCTGCGTAACTACAGTACAATAATCAGAATCATGATATCAGCCTTGACACAACATTATTATCTAACTTTCAGACCTTGCTCAAGGTTTGCCATTTGTTCCATTAACATCCTTTATCTTGTCTGGAACCCAGTCTAGGGTCACATGTGTCACATCTCTTTAGTTTCCATCTGGAAATTGTTTTTCCAGATGAAAAATTGTTTTTGTCACTCTGGGCAAGAAGAGCCAAACAAGTGTCTCTTTTTTAATTGCAAGTCATTATGAGGATGGCTGGTAGAGATAGTTGAGGCCCCAGAGAATGTTCCATCAGCAAGTGTTAGGGAGGCTGGCAGAAGGAGAGTGATCTGCTGTGGAGCACACCTGTGATTCCAGCTACTCAGGAGCCTGAGGGAGGAGTATCACAAGTTCTCTAAGTTACCTTAGCAACTTACACCCCATCTCAAAATAAAATTCAGAAAGAAAAAAGGCCTGGGGTGTAACTCAGTGGTAGACTGCTTGCCTAGAATGCTCAAGATCTTGGGTTCAATCCCCAGCACTACAAAAAAATAAATTACCTTTTTTTTTTTAAACAAAAATGTTTGTTGAAATATGAGATAAATGACTTTTGTACATGATCAACAATGACTGAACATTATAAGAGTGTGGTATTGTGCATATTTCCCTCTGATGTGTCTCAAATGCAGGAGTTTGGGCATTTCCAAGTGCGTTGTCTCGACAATGCACAGACAGAGCAAGGGGCCCCCATGCAATAGGAGAAAGCTTTGTAACATTTTAAGTCTGGCTTCTTCATCTCATAGAAAGAGGGGGCAAATGTGAGAAGACCGTCAAGGTTGGGAGAATGTCAACCTTGTTGTGCTGAGTTGGAGGTGACCAGCATCTCTAAGTGATGTTCAGGAAGCAGATGAGTTAAGTGTCTGTAGCTTATGGTAAATAGAGCCCCAAGCCAAAGTAGCACACTGAGCTGAAATTGCCTGGAACACTTTTTTAACCAAAAAGGGGGAAAAAAAAAATCAACCTCGAAGAGTATTACAGGAGCAAATCCAGGGTGTTCAGAAATGTAACCAGGCTCTTGAAGCACAGAGCTCAATGCTGACTTTTCCTCCTTTTTTTTTTTTTCTTCTTCATTCTCAAATCATTAGTTTCACTGCTTTGAAGGGGGAACACAGAAAACAGATGTCCTCCACGTGGGTTCTGCTCAGAAATTCCCAGGCCTGTAGTAAAAGGAGATGCTGATGGAGTAGCGCCTTGCTGGCTTCATGCAGGGACCCACGGCTGCTGGTGACAGTCCCTGTCAGGCACAGTGAGCCCTTCTGGCTGGGACCCAGAGCCCCGCAGGCTGCCTAACCTCCACCAGGCCCCCTCCATGCAGTTCCCACATCATTAACATGCCCAGGCAGTGGGGCCTGCGCCTTCCCTGCAGGGCTGACTTTCTCACTCACTAGAGGCAATGTCACCTCCCCACATCACAGGGCTAGAGCTCTTGGTTCTTTGGAGAGACAATCATACATTTTCATAATTTTTGTTGATGTCTTTTAACTGACAAACCCAAAATTGCACTTATGGCATATAACCTAATTTTTAGTATGCCTGTACATTATAGAATGGCTGAATCAAGTTATTTAACATAATATTACCTCACACACTTTTTTGTAGTGAAAACCCTTAAAATATATTCTAGCCATGTTCAAGTGCATGATACATTGTTATTCACTTAGCACCAGGAGGTACAGTAGATCTTGAACACCTTCCTTCTGTCTAGCTGTGACATTTTCATTGAAATTAATATTCATTCATATATTATAGATGATAAAAACCTAACAGGATT